TGTGTTGAAGGAGTTAGGTGTGACCTGGATTTGCTTTTCTCTCAGGACAAAAGTGACTTTTGTTGGGGTTTTTATTTATTTTTTTTTTTTCCCCCTGCACAGAGCTGGAGCATGGAGGGAGGGGAGGGAGTAAAGGGTGGTTTGGCAGAGGTGGAAATACAGACCCTTCCCTTCCTAGTCTGGCAGGAGCTGCCTCTGCCGGAAGCTCGTGTCGCTTCTAATAACTTTACTTTTAATGCTTACTAAGATGGGAAGATAGAGCTGTCTTTGCCGGTTACCTCGCTGCGTGCCTCCTTCCCTTGGAGGTCAGCTCTGTTTGGGTGACTTGCACCGATCTGAGCCGCCCCGTTTCCAGCGTGGCTCCTCCGCTTTCCTGGTTTCGGGGGGCTGGCGTGCTTCGAGGGGGTGAGCTCAGCTCTTGACCCCTGCTCCTTCGCACGCTTTGCGTGAGCTTTAAAACCTTCCCGGTTTGTGTGCTCCTGCAAGAGCTCGGGGGAAGTGAACTGTATGGAAATCCCCGCTCTCAGGCTTGGTGGTTTACAGAGCTTTGCATCCTTGCACTGGATCCAGTGGGGCCTTTCCAGTGCTCTTTGGTTCATGATGCAGGGCAGCACGAGGGCTGGGGAGGTGGCTTTGCGAGAACCATCTCTTTATAAGCAGGCTCCCCGCTGGGCTGTGCGGGCAGCTGCCCACGTTGTCCAGGAGCCCTTTCTCGTTAAGCTGATCTAGATGTGCATCGTGGTGGCATGAGGTGATACCTGCTCAGGCCTGGGAAAGATGTTTTGTGTAATACTGCTTGCGAGGTGATCCATTCAACTGTCCCCTAGCACAGAGACCCTGACAAAAGCTCCAGGAGCCCCTTGCATATGTCTGTCCCTGCAGGCTACAAAGAGTTAACCGGTCTGTGCCTCTGCCACCTCCCAGGCTGGCCCAGCTCCATGTGCTTTTGTCTGGGAAAGGCTGACTTTCACCTTGCTCCTGTTTACTCCTAGACTTATGTACACAGTGCTGGGGAGGGAGTTGCAGGAGCGAGTGCTGGGTCTCCACGCCAAAGTTATGAAATTGATAAAGAGCTCTCTGCGCTCTGGATGCCCGGCTCTCTGCAGGTCTGACTCCCTTTGCGGCTTGCTGGCTGTGACCCTTCAAAGAAGCTTTTAATGAACTCTGGTGTGTTTGATCAGGGACAAGGGCCAGCCGTAAAAACTAGTTCCGTGTCTGGAAAACTTTGTCTCTGCCCCAAAACATCATTTGGGGTTTTTTTGAAAGGGTTTGCAAAGGCTGTGGTGAGGACGTGTGGGCTGGGGCAGGCGAGCTGCTTGGGTTTGTTATTTCCCAGAATTAGCCAGCGGCTGGGGAAATTCACACATTGGACAGAAACTTTGCTTGCTTTCTCAGTAAATAGAGGTTCTTGCTTTGAGGAGCGGTAGTGGTATGCTGGGGCTGTAAGTGAAAGCCCCAGGAGCACGAAATGGAGTGGGGTGGGCTAGAGATGGAGCACAGCAGGGCTGCAAGCCCCTGCCGGGGGTGCCAGGAGTGTGATTGCTGTGCCTGAACTTAGCAAACAGCGTCTGGCTTCATCCAGTAGTGCGGCCTGTCTCGGGCTCAAACATGAGACCTCTGTGCCCGGCTTTTCCAGGAATGACGCTCATGGTTCACGTGCCTGACATGCTGGTTGTCTGGCAGGGAATAAACTCTTATGTTTTTTGGCTGCTGGCAGGCAGGAAAAGCTGCTGCTCCCCAGCACGTTGGTTAATCCCCCTTGGTGCTTACTGGGGATAAAGCTGCTTAACATGAGGAAGAAATCCTGGAACTAGACTCCTGCAGAAAGGGTTGATTTCTGTACAGACCCCTCCTGGAGAGGAGCATATTAATAGTAGGGCTTGACTTCGGCTGCCGGGGCGAGGTGGGGCTGCGCAGCTGCCCAGTCTGACTCTCCCAGCAAGTCCCTGGCCTGGCTCCAGTGCTGGAATAACAGGTGGTGGAAAGCAGACTCGGAGAAGCGCCGGTGCCCTTCTCCAGCTGGCAGTTGCAGAAGGTGTTAAACTGAATGCGGCCAGAGACGACTTGGCAAGGGCTGGCCATCGTCCTGCAGCAGTCTCATAGCTTTTTCCTCTTGGCTGCATCCTGCCAGCTGAGATGAAGCACAGGCACCTTCCGTGGTGCCTCTTCACCTGGTGCTGGAGTTGTAGGGAGGACTGAATCCTCTTGGAAAGGGATGCACTTTTTTAGCAATTCTCCAAGGAGCTCTTTATGTGGCACTTGGGAAGCCCGCAGCCCTTGCTTTTTTAAGTCTGTGAAAGTGCCTGTGTGCCCTCTCCCAGGTGCGTATGCAAGGAATGTGCCTGCTCCAGACCTGCCCTTGGAGCACGGCACTCCAGTGTTAACTCTTCCTGGGCTGCCTGTGCCCCAGCTCCCAGGAGGAGCCTGCTCCCTGGGAAAGCATGTCTTGAAACCTGGAGGGTAAGTATGGAGGTGCCCAGCAGCCCTCTAACTTCCCCGACAGATGAATCTGTAAAGTGAGGCTCACTGCCCACAAGAAAAGTTTCCTGTATGGTTTGAGAAGCTCTTGTGGCTTCCAGGAATTTCCCTGTCCTTGCTCAAGAGGATGATGAAGAGTGAGTTCAGGGAACGCTCCCATATAATCTTATTTGTGCTTGTGAGTCAGTAATTTCCTTGTTATGTATGTCCTCTGGCTTGTAAACACTGTCTGTCCCGATTTAAATAGTGTTTTCCGATAGCCAAACCTGGTGCATTGCACAGTATGTACTAATCACGGTGGCTGTCTGCCACGGCTTTGCTCACGGCTAGGCTGACCTGGGAAGGCCAGCCTGCTGTCCAGCCACTCAGTGGCCTAAATGCGTTTTTTCTTGAGCCACCCTCGTTAGGACATTAGCTGGCTGTGATTCATAGTGAAGCATGGCGTGAGCTGGCACAGGGGTGCGGCTCAGCGGAGCGCTCTTGCCAACATTGATCTGCCCTGGCATGGCAGCCGGGTTATACGGATCTGCAGCAAACGTGCTCCCCAGCGCGGGTGCCCTGGCTCGGGCAGGCGGGAATCGGGCTCTTCCTGCCCCTTGATGGAATGGCCAGAAGCTCTCACGGGAACAGCTACTGCGTGCTGGCAGCAGTTTCCATTGCAGGTCTGGCTTTGGCTGGGTTTCACATATCTTGAAATGAATTTGCCTTGGAGCGAGTGATCCATAACGTTAGGAACGCCTGGTTCCAGGCTGGGAGGTGATTTCTTCCCAGCTGGCCTTCCTCCCCAGCCCCCTTCCCATCACCCTAGTGCCAGGCTCGGACAGAGTGGAGACAGGGGGTCTGGGAGGAGAGCTGGCCTCAGCACTTCATGCCCTCTAGGCTGCTCATTTCAACTCAGCAGAGTTGCTGGGGAAACCAAAGATGCCTCAATAAGCTAATGAAAAGCACATCTAGTAGCCACTGCTCCTTTTGCAAAATGAGAAACATCTTGTCCTGACCACAAGGCCTTGTTCGTGGCAAAACCAATATGCTAATGGGCAGGGAAATCTGGGCTGGAAGCAGGGCTGGGGCTGTGGGCCAGAGGAAGCTGACGCACAGCTTGTGGCTGATGGTTGGCCTTCACTTGTGAGATGGATAGCGGCTGTGATTTGTCACTTGGTGTCACCACTGGGCTGTAGGATAGGCCATGCCAGGCCGGGTGAGCAGGAGGGTTGATGCCAGCTGCTCAGGGTCTCGATGCTGCCCTGATGAAGCAGCAAGCGCTGGGGCTCAGGTGGTACCACCCAGCTTTAACTGTCCCTGCAGGTCTCTGATCCTCACCCCCTGTGAGGCTGTAGCTCGTGGTAAACCTGTACATTAAGAAGAGCCCTCGGATGTGCAGGACTGTGGAGCGCATTAAAAATGCTCTCCTGGGTAGTTAAACCTTCAGGACTTGAGCCCAAGTTCTAGGAGACACCCAGGGAACATGTTCCCAGTCCTTCTGTGGGGACAGCATGGAAAAATGTTGACAGTTTAGCCCCTAGCTATGGGACCCATCCACCTGCAGGTCGAGTCCCCCACCACGGCGATGACTTCATGGCTGTGGAAGCATCTGGAGCTGCTGGAATCTGGGCTGGTGTTGAGCAACCCGAGAGCTCATACCTGCGGTACCCTCACCGCGGCTGGCCCCGGGCTGTGGGGCGAGGAGGAATAGTTCTGGGGAAATCGCATAACCCTGGTGAGGGCAGGAGGTTTGGGCTTGTGGCTCCTTGGAGGTCCATGTGCAAGTGAGCTCTGGTGTGGAAATTGTCATTGTGGCCAAACAGCTGCTTCTCTGGGAAGCCCTTCTGCCGTTTTGCTAACCCGTGTCTGTAACTGCGGTCATCGGGCCATAGGATCAGGACTTCATTTTACAGAGTTGTTTGTTTATGTGCAATTTAAGAGGTGAGGCAGGGGAAGCTCTTCCTTCAGGCAAGTCATTATTGATAACAAGTGCTCTTGAACGTCACATTATATTGCACTGCAATTCAGCTGAACTGACAGACCAGTTTTTAACCCTTGGGTGATAAAATAGGTTTGTTCTCGATACAAGAAGCAACGAATTGCCTTGGTGTGAGGCTTCGGTGCTATGCAAAAAGCTGACCTATAGGTGCCAGGCTTTTCCTCTGGGAATAGCAAGTCCTTCCAAATCCCCCCTTATCACAAACTGAAGGTATTGCTTTTCCAAATACTTTTGCTACAAACTCCTGACCCAGATCCCGTTGTGTTATTTTCACCCTGTGGGTTCAAGTGAACCTCCTGAATCTGGAGCCCTCAGGAAATTCCCCTCCCAGGCTGGCTCTCACTTCTGTTCTGAGAAATTCTAGGGGAATTCAGCTGTTTCCAGGCTGATGAAGATAATGCTTTTGGTGGAGAGGAAGTTCAGCATTTAATGTTCATCTGATGGAAGTGACAGCACAGGCTCTGAACTCCTGACCGTCTATGAAATGCTTCTGAGGAGTTGCCTGATGCTTAACACTTCTCCACCCCTGTTTACAGGTGAGAGAAACCGAGACCATGGATGCCCGATGGCTTGGCTACCCTGCCTCCGGAGACTTGCCAGACGATGAAGACATTGGCGAATTCAGGCCTCACTTTACTTCTGATGGGTTGGACATAGATGAGGCATCTGGGTCTGGAGGTAAGCAGGGAAGGGGGGAAATGGATCTCCCTCAGTTGATGCTGTGAAATTTCTTCTGGCACCAGCCCATGAGTGATGGATGGGCTAAATGCACAGCCAGAGCTCCAGAGGGAACTACAGTGTCAGGTGGAGATGAGAAAGCCTTGTGAATCATAGACACTCATGGATGAGAGCAGTGAAAGTGTTTGTACCGTGATGTTGAATCACTTGGGGAGGACAGATGGAGTCCAGCCAAGCTTGCCTCACTGCAAGTGAAAAGGCATTGCACTGGCTGGATCTCTTTCCTGTTGAACTCCAAAGAACTTCTGAGAAACTTAAAAATAATAATAATTTTTTAAAAATAATCTATTGTTTAGGCAATGTTAAAAGACTTAAAGTTAGTATCTCAGCTGAGGCCAAACAAGGTAAAGGACTAACTGGTGTTCAGGTGAACTCTGACATGCAAAGCTCCCTACCCAAACCAGTTTCTGTAGCTCCGTGTCCCCTTTATGTGAACATTTGTTCTCTAAAAGGGAAAGAACAAGTGCTGAAATCGGTGCCTGACATGTCTGGGCAGATCTGGTAACTAGAGAGTTGGCGAACTATCCTTTAGGTGTGGGTGGTGAGAGCGTTGCCCTCCACTGGCATTAGTTTAGCAAGCTATAGCAGACCTGCTTTGCAGGGCAGCTCCTGATAATCTGCAGCAGGGGCCAATGGATCCGGCTGAAGACCCCTCCCATGCGAGAGGTGTTGGTCTTAAGATTACATCTCATGGTCTTGTGCAATCAAAGCCATTAAATGGCGAAAGTACTAGTAGATAAGAGGGAACTGTAGTCATCAGAGAACAAGAGTCCTAGTTTGTCTGCAGCTACTGGTATTGCGGGAAGTGTCTGAATTCTGGAAAAATGGCATGTAATGAGAGAAAAACTTAGTGTCCTCTTCTATTTTTCTCCCCCCCGCGCAGACTACTCAGACTCTGAAGATGCCATATATCTGACCACCATGGATACTCCTGTGGTAGGTATTGCCTGTGCATGTTTTAAGCAACACATAGCTACTCTGGTCTGTCTGTGAAGCTTTCTGAATACCCTTCCCCCCTGCGAGACATGGCATCAAGATGAATCTACCTGCATGAGCAGGAACAGTGTACTCGTAATGCACTAAGCAAACTTTCTTTTCCCTGCACACCCTCCTACTTTCAGTTGTAGGTAGGCTGAGTGCTGCTTACTGATGGGTGCGGTTTGTCTATATTCTGTAGATATCTGACAACTATATCCCTGGAGATACTGAGAGAAAGATAGAAGATGAGAAGAAAAACACAGTGGTGGACAATGAAATAATTCCAGACCAAGCTGTACCTGTTGAAGAGAACCTGTCCAACAAGATCTCCATGGCAAGCACAGCCAACAGCAGCATCTTTGAAAGAACAGAAGTCCTTACAGGTAATACTTCACCTTGTCCTGATAAATCATTAGTATTGTAAATCTAAATGGCTTCTATTGTTCCCTGTTTCTCTGGGGAG